ATATCCAAAAACACAGGATACTACTAAAATATAAATAATATCCATATGTTATACTACTACTACCTGTGTTTTTAAATAATATCCAAAAACACAGGATACTACTAAAATATAAATAATATCCATATGTTATACTACTACTACCTGTGTTTTTAAATAATATCCAAAAACACAGGATACTACTACTATATAAATAATATCCAAAAACTTTTTCTGAATAGAATAGGTGTTTATGAAATAATGACATGGAAAATTATTTGCTGATGAAGATGATGATTTGATGAAGAAGATGTTGTCAATTTAAGTTTTTGAAAGTGTTGCATTGATTTGGGGATACAAACTTTATATGAAAATATTCATTTTAAAGTTTAAAAACAAATATCTAGATATTATAATTGAATAAGATAGAAAATATGCATATTTAATTTACCTCAATGTCTGTTAAAAATATTTGTTTTAAAAGAAAAGGGGTAGAAGTTCCATTATAACTTAGGAAGAAACTATATGATAAATTGTATAGAGGATAACATATAAAAATATAAAGTTTGAAAACATAGAGAGTGGGGGGTATGAAAAATCTTGTAATTGCTGTAAATTGTATGTTTGTTAGACAAAAATGTATTTTGAATTAATAAAAGGCCTGGCATGGCCTGGTGGTTAGGGCATTGACTCACAACCTGTGGGTCATAAGTTTGAATATCATCACCGTATAAGTTCACCCTTTTAGCCAAGGGGGCATTACTATGTGATGGTCAATTGTGGTATTCATTGGCAAAGAGTAGCCCAGTAGTGGAAATTATATCTCAGTCAGCTACTGAGGATTTATTAATGTATAAAAGAAATATTTTTGTTATAAGTTGTTTGATGCATCTTTAATGAAAACAGCTATTCAACTAAACTGTTTATTTAAATGTTACGTTAGTTCTAACAGGCTGAAAACTTTTTAAATACCTTGTTAATCCTGTTGCTTAGGTTTATGATAAACAATAGTAAGATAATGTTTCAGATTAATGGAGATTTAGTAGTGTCTTATATAATGTGTTATGTTGTAATATCTTATAAGGAACAATTATGAATGACTTAGCTTCTGTTAATAAAATGCAGATCAGATTATTGTGATAATCAAAATAACATCTTAATATGACATTTTTTTTCCAGAAGGATTGTTTGTACCAAAATTTAATGACAATATTTTGAATCTAAAAGAAGTAGCAAACATTGTTGTAGTTGTTTAAAACTCGCTGAATGTCCCATTTTTTTTTTATGAGTAGGTCCGGACAAAACTTGAAGTTACTGAGGCTATCTTGATGATGGAGAAGGTTTTAAAGAGTTATTTAATCATATCTCAAGAAGATAGAATAAAGTATAATGTAGTTCTGGCAATACTAATATCTCTAGCTCTAGTGAAGAAAGGACTTGAACATGGTCTGGAGCCTTGGAGTTTGCTGGTTGATACTGAAACATTGTGTTGCCAGCTAAGTAAGGTACAATTCTAAGAATAGTAGAACTTGGTTAAAAAATAGTAAACTGTATTGAAGTATGAGTAGTAATAAAGGTACAGGAGAAGGTGGATCTTAGTTTCTGTGCTTTATATGCACTTTTTCTTTACTTAAGGTTTTGGTTGGGGTTGGATAACATTTCTCAATGCTGGCAATATGTTACAAATTTTTTTTTATCTAACTGCATTTCCATGTATCCAATGATTCTAAATATTGATTCAATTAATATTGTCTTATAATACATATCAGAATTTTCCATAAATCTTTTTAATGTATGTCTCTGAGACGCATCACCATCAAAAGAATATTAAATTTCTTTGTATGTTTGATCATTCAGAAAGAAATTTCTTCAGAAACATCATACTTTAAATGAAGCAGTTTTATTGTTTGTAATAAAAAGGGTTTTTAAATTGGTAACTGTTTTTAACTAGTAATTTATGTCATTGTAATATTTTCAAAACAGGAAACAGGAATTCTTGAAAGGGAAATTGCTATAACAGTTGTGTCTTTGCTATTTCTGAAAGTGCCAAGTGATCACCTGAAGACATTGTTGAATATTGGTATGTTAACAATAACTAGAATTCTTCAGATTATTTTTTTAAACCACTTGAAATGAACTTCAAGAAAATGCAGATTTTGTGTACATTTATAACAATGAATATTGTTTCTTCTCTCAAGCTGGTTGTACATTAATCTTATCTTTTATCCTTCTCAGGTAGTATGCTGCTTGATCATCCTGAAGTATCTCCCACGGTCTCTGCTATGCTAATTGCCCCACTTATTGAGCTTACTTTAACACCTCCAGTTAGTCAAGACTTTTTATTGAAATCTATAGTAGTTGAACTGGTAGAGAAACTGGAAAGTATGAAATTGTCAGAAGAAGACTATGAAATCAAGGAATTACCAATAGTGTTGACTTCTTCTTTGACAAGTGATAAACAGTCTGGGAATGGAAAAAAGATTGAAAGTGATCAAAATATGCTCTCTTTAACATCTTTTGTTTCTAGAGAGACTTTATTTACACTCTTGGCCAAAAGGATGGATAAGTTTCAAAGTTACACAGAAGGAGCACGATGGGCAAAGGTTGTGTCTAAGCTGTATATAAGCCATGATAAAGTTAAGGAACCTCTAGTGTTTTTGTTACTTACTGCCATGTTTTATCGACAGAATACAAATAGTGGTGTTCATCAGTGTTTGGAAGTTCTTCGAGCTCTTGTAAGAAAACATCCTGAATGGGTAAGGAATAAAAGCTTAATGTTAATCCTTCTTCCCCTGTTGGTTCAGAAGTAAGTATACAGATTTACAGTGCTAAGATTTGAGTGTGATTCCCCATGATGGACAGAATGCAGATAGCCTATTATGTTATATATATATGTTATATATGTATTATACATTAAAACAAAGCCCTGTGATGTTACGTATGCATTCAAATGGTTCTAGTGGTTTAGAGACTGTAGTTTTGAGGTTGTAGTCTTGCTATGTAACATTACTTACATGGGCACTCAAATGATTCTAATATATTTTGAGGTTGCAGTTGTACTGTAACCCATTCCATTTTTCCATAACCTCAGCCATGCTGCTTACCTATGGATCTGCTTGACTTACTTTCAATTTTCATTGAATCCATTTCATCAGGTTGTGTTATAAACATATTATCCACATCATTAGGTTGTGTTACAGACATATTTTTGTTATTCTTAATTATGTATTTTCTACTGTTGATATTTAATATTGTGAAAGTTGTTATTTTGGTATGTGTTAAGGATTTTGGATGTAGGTCCGAAACTTTGTGTTTAACCCTGCATTAGTCTTCTGTAAAAAATTTTCCATACTCACTCTTCTGGGATCCAAGCAGACCTCATCATAAAACATTTATATAAAAATACTTAAATAATAATAAATTATTTTTTTGGAAACAAAAAACACTAACACCAAATCTTTTCCTTTATTAATCAATAAATGAATATTACAACTTGTTTCTTTTTTACTACCTAAACTAAGTGTAACAATTTAACACATACTAGCTGAATACTGAACCTACTGAGAACAACAAACACGTATGTGCTTCTGTCTGTCAGAGCCAATCTTCACAAAATATTTGGGGTCCGTGAAGACCCCAGAAGACTAACTCAGGGTTAAAATACCTCATGTTGTTTACCTGTTCCTTTGTGCTGGTTCTATGTATCACTGTGAACATGTAGTTATATGTTTTATTATTTAAAAAAATTTTAAATTACCACCACTCTGAGACAAAATACTTAAAAGTGTATCACTGGGACCTCAAATTGTTGACAGCTGAAAGAGTTGTTTCTGAGTAATGCCACTGTGATAGAGGAGCAAAAAAAGGTATTTGAGCTAACACTAATGGAAATTTATTTTTGAGCTCATTATGGATGGAAACTTTTATAATGAAATTTCTGTTGTTTTTGCCTTGTACTGAAAAATGTTGAGTTCAGGTTTTCTTCATAGTTAGAAGTGTATCCCCTTTGGAATGTGCAATATGAGAGAGATTTTTTTCTGTACGTATTAGTTCTTTTTTCTTTCCTCATCTCAGGAACGAAGAAGACCTTAGTTTTGTGGTTTTGTTTTTTTCTCTGGAGCTTACTCCTTTTATTGTGGTATAAATCTAATGAGAATATGCATATAATGTCATCAACCCATCTTTCTCAAAATGTTTCAATAGATGAGGAATACAAATGTTCAACCAGAACTGTATTGCACTTCTTTTGGACTGTTGAACAATAATTGTACCTTCAGTGAATTAGCTCACTCGTAGCCTAGACCCATGTGGTCTGATTTAACATATGAAAACACTATTTGCTTTTCTGTAAACTTCCAGTGGTCTGATTTAACATATGAAAACACTATTTGTTTTTCTGTAAACTTCCAGTGGTCTGATTTAACATATGAAAACTCTATTTGCTTTTCTGTAAACTTCCAGTGGTC